GTGAATTAAAATGCAAAAGCTGAACCTTTCTTAATAAAACCAACATCTACCAAATATCTTTAACACAACAAGCACATGCTTAGACCATCACAAGTGTCAACATTTGTAGCTTGGTGCCTAGTTTGGGCAAAGGGTTGAAGTTAAAATGTGAAAGGTTTGAATTTTCCTAAAATAATGCTCAGTCAGTTCCCTGCCAAGCACAGAAACACTGGAGGTCTGTTTATTGTTTCCCTTCCCTGTCTCTTCTTTTAAAATCTTGTAAAGACTTCAAACATGTTCATAATTTTTTTTCATGACTACACCAGAGAAAATCCCACAAACACAGAAAGAGAAGGCATAGTCTGCTGCTACTCCCTGTTATTACCACCTGGCATCACCCACTTAGGTATTCGGAGGTAAAGCAGTAAAAGGAATCAGGAAGTCCATGTTAGCTGGCATTTCGATATATCCTTTCTAATCAGGAGTTGCAATGCTGCACAGCTATAATAAATTACACTTGTTTTTCTTTCCAGGAAGACTCTCTTATGAAATTGAAGAGTATTGTAAAAGAAGCCCCAAACGAACTTCAAACCCAAGACAGAGTAGGTGAGATTCTGCTCTTGTGTTAGTCTTACACTGTCGTTCCATTGATCTTTGTGGAATTGCTACCCATTTACACCATTGTGAGAGCAGACTCTGACCCACTTAGTCAAGTTTAGACCTGGAATCAGCTTGCACAACTCCATGAAAGTGGCCTATAAAGTCATCTTTTCTTACACTCGTATGGGTATAAACAAGTCAGAACACTTTTCAAGGAGCAAATATTATTCAGACCTGTGCGGCCAGTGAAAACACAGCCTTAGGCCCACACTGTAATGGGAAGAACTTTGGAAATTTCTGCAGCGGCTAGTGGTGGAGGACATAAAAACACTCCACCTTACTGCCTCCAGCTATAGAAAATATGCAGAGTGTGCAGTGTGCTTTACGTGTCAGGATAAATCATACGGCTTTTCGTAAAACCTACTGATCTCAGAAAATTAGAACAGAGGTTAACCTATGCATGGATTTGGACTTGCTGCTCAGTATGTTGAATAACATCAGCATCAACAAGACTTATGGGGAAGATCTTAGCTGCCTTGCAACTGGTTTCAAAATAGGCTTTGTAATGATGCAGGAACTTTTAGAATGCAGAATCCATGACATTTAATCTGGGTCCTCTAAATCCTGGATCTAGATTATTTACGCCCTACATATCTCACAAACATCAACTGTTTTGCTACTATGGACAACGTAAGCTCTTACACTGGAACAGAATATGGGTGATGCTCTTGTGCAATCAGTGCTAGTGTTTGAATGTTAGTGCTTTCTTAGGAACGGAAGATTAACGAGTGAGATCATGCCATACAAGGCTCTGAACATGTACAGTTAGATTCTGGGGTAAACTGGTATAAATTGAAGAGAGAAGAGTCAGATGGCACTTTATGTATTAAAGTGCCAAGGAATAGAGGAAACTAAATTGGAGTTACATATGGTCCTTTGTTCTTTAGTCAACAAAGCATCCCTGAAGAGGTTCAAGGGACAATATCATATTCTGCAATTAGACCTCAAAATTGATATAATCTGGTGAAAAACATCCTGCAAATTCACTTCATTTCTGTCTTGTTTTGCTTAAACAAAATCATTCTTCTTATGAAATGAAAAAAGAATTAAACAATAGCCACTATTAATTTATAATCTAGCATATTGTAATGAAGCGGCTAGTTGTGTGTATGTAGCAATGCCCTCTACTGGATGCAATTAGAAGTGCTTTACAATATGCCATAAACCCTATAATGCTGGTAAGAGATAATGAAGATTCTCCTCTAGCATACGTAATAGGAACATGTTCTTTTCAAGCAGGAGGATTTTGGTTTTATCCCTCTTGCTACCCTGAAGTACTGAACGTCCATACTAGCCATTAGGACAGGTGGTTTTATGATTAAGGCCCCGGACTGGGATGCACAAAAATTGCAGTTCAGTTCCCAGCTTTACCACAGACTTCCTGTGTGACCCTGGGCAAGTTAATCGACTTCAGGGGAACTAAGCATGTGCATAAGTACCGTGCTGAATCAAGACCATAATACCTCTGTAGCTGTGCTCCCTGCCTGTGAATAGGGATAATATTTCTTTTTTCATACCCTTTGTCTAGTCTGTTTAGATTATAAATTCTTCTGGACATGCAGCTGTGTCTTATTTTCTACATGCATAGGCACCTAGCACAACGGAATCCTGATTTCAGTTGCAGTTACTACGTGCTACACTACTGTAATAATAATTAAGTATATAATGCTTCTGTTGGTAATCTACATTTTTCACAATAGGTTCTTGTAAAATCTTAATGGAATCTTAGCAGTTAAGAATATCTAAAATCTAAAACTCCGTTCATCTTGTGCAACTGAAATATTAGGATGTCTGCACAACCAAGAGTGAGTAATCTAAAAAAGTTATCATCACTAAGGCGGAAGAAGACTTGATGAGAACTTTGAGACATGCTATATGGTTACTGTACATTTGAATTTCTACCCACTTGAAAAGTGCAATTGTATTAGGAGTTTTGCTAAAACATGACACACAACTTTCATCGTAGGTCTAAAGAGACAGATTTTAACATATTTTAAAAAATGATTAGATTTTTATTGCAGATACAAAAGGCACAGGTCACATTTTGGGCTTACCAGATGTGGCAAGATCCCTTCAAATGATAAGTAAAAACGCATGTGCTTCAAGAATAACGTATCCTACTTGAACTTTTTTTACTTGATGGGATATAAGATTATGTTCTGATGTCACTGAGAGATCTACACCCAAAGGGGGAGAGCAGAATACAAGAGCAGAGATCTATTGCATGGAACTGAGAGAACTTTATGCAGGGTCCAGTGATATAAAAAGTATGTTTCAGAGTAGCTGGCGTGTTAGTCTGTATCTGCAAAAAGAAAAGGAGTATTTGTGGCACCTTAGAGACTAACAAATTTATTTGAGCATAAGCTTTCGTGAGCTACAGCTCACTTCATCGGATGCAACTGTAGCTCACGAAAGCTTATGCTCAAATAAATTTGTTAGTCTCTAAGGTGCCACAAGTACTCCTTTTCTTTTTATAAAAAATATGCACAGTTTAGTGGCTAGTTCTGCCATTAGATGCTACCAACTAGATGCATAGCCATTCTTAAATTGAATTTTAAATTGGGCAAGTGGAGTTCTGTTTTGGGCTGTTTGCTCTGCAACAGAAGACCAAAAATTGAACACAATATTGAAGTGGTGTCAGGAATAGACATGTGTCTGTCTGTCTCTCACTTACTTCCTTTTAAAAATTATTTGGTCCTCTGATTTTCCCTTTATGGACTAACTATCCATATTTTCTGCCTCTCAAAGCCCTTTCCCCCAATCATGCTGCTTTATTTTCATTTTTTTTTCATATTCTCTTTTCTTTACTCTTCATATGATTTCATTTAGCTTTGACTTTAGGAAAATCTAATTGCTCCTGTCTTTGCCCTTTTGCACTTCTGTCCTTCTTTCCATGGGATATTTTTTAGCCTCACCATGGGCATAGCGGGTGGTAACGCTATCTCTTGCCTGTTCTGTCAGGTCTGCCCCAAGTAGAGATGGTTTCCCACGGGGGCTCATTTTCAGGCAGTATCTCCCTCGCGTGAGGGAGAGTTTCCGTGAGATGCCCAGGGCCAGTTTTGTCAATGAAACATCCAGAACAGTGCTAGCATTTGGGGTGGACAGTAGCCCAACTGGGAAGCTGAGTGAGTGTCAAATGGGGACAGGGGTATAATTATTCACCCAGCTGCATGACTTTGATGCTGCCCCTATGCCACTGAATAACCAGCTACCTGGCTTGGGGGAGATAAGGGTGTCCCCCTGGTTTGCGGGGCACTGCATGATGCTGCGGAGGGCTAGAAATAAACCCCCAATATTCCCCCTCTAGGTATTTTGAAATCCCCTCCCTGCCTCCCAACTCAGCCTGGGCCAGGCAGCTCCACAACCCTCCTCCCCCCCGCCCCATGTGTGTGCACACGCCCTGCCCCCTTCCCCTCTCTTCATTCCCGCCCGCCCGCGAGTCGACACTTTCCCCCCTCTGGCCACGCCCAGCCGGTGGCCACTCCGCAAAGCGGGATGGGAGTTTCTCTTCGCGCGCCCGACCGCACGCCGTGTCTCTCCCCCCTGGGAGCTGACAGGCGGCCTCGGGATCTCTCTTTCCTACACGCGCCCGACCGCTCCTTCCTCTCCGCGCCCCCAAGCCCGGCCCCCCCCCCCCCTCGAGCGGGAGATTGGACTGGAGCCATTTTAACCCGACCGAGCGAGCGTCAGGCCGCAGCGTCAGGCGGGGGGGGGCCCGCTGAGGAGCGTGAGGTACCGAGGGGAAAGCCCCTCCCCCCCTCGCAGCGGAGGGGGTCACGTCAGCCACCCCTCCCCCATTGCCTGGGGGTCGGGCCCCAGCTACCGGGGGGCTAGTCCAGCCCCTTCGAGTCCCACCTCCGCGTGTACAGGGTGGGAGGGGCCCGGGTTAATGGGGTGATTTCCCCCCCCCAACCCGGTATTGCCTGGGAGGGGGCTGTGCCCTCCAGGGGATGGCAGCTTGGGGGGTGATTCCCCCACACCCCAGCACTGGTATTGCCTGGGAGGGGGCTGTGCCCCGCAGGGGATGGCAGCTTGGGGGGGGGTTACCCCGTGTTAATGGGGTGATTTCCCCCCACACCCCAGCACTGGTATTGCCTGGGAGGGGGCTGTGCCCCGCAGGGGATGGCAGCTTGGGGGGGGGTTACCCCGTGTTAATGGGGTGATTTCCCCCCACACCCCAGCACTGGTATTGCCTGGGAGGGGGCTGTGCCCCGCAGGGGATGGCAGCTTGGGGGGGGTTACCCCGTGTTAATGGGGTGATTTCCCCCACACCCCAGCACTGGTATTGCCTGGGAGGGGGCTGTGCCCCCAGGGGTGGCAGCTTGGGGGGGTTACCGTGTTAATGGGGTGATTTCCCCCACACCCCAGCACTGGTATTGCCTGGGAGGGGGCTGTGCCCTGCAGGGGATGGCAGCTTGGGGGGGGTTACCCCGTGTTAATGGGGTGATTCCCCCCCACACCCCAGCACTGGTATTGCCTGGGAGGGGGCTGTGCCCCGCAGGGGATGGCAGCTGCAGGGGTTACCCCGTGTTAATGGGGTGATTCCCCCCCACACCCCAGCACTGGTATTTCCTGGGTGGGGGCTGTGCCCTGCAGGGGATGGCAGTATGTGGGGGGCAGGGGTTCCCATGTGTCAGACGAACTGCTGAGAGCACTGACCCTGCCTATGGTCTGTCCCGTAGCTCTGCCTTGGTTAATCAGGGCGCAAAGCTCGCTGAGCATGAAATGACAGTAATAACTATCTCTGATAATATGTTTGTCCACTGTGTATCTCAAAGCTGTTCACAAGGTAAACAGCATTACCTCCATTGTGCCATAGGGCAAACTGAGGCACAGAAGGGACTAGCCCAAGGCCTCACTGGGAGTCAGTGGCAGAGCTGAGGAAAAGCTACTGCTCCCCTACTTCCCAGTGGTTTCATTTACAATGGAAGAAGCTGTTTTTATATGTTAAATGGTGTTTTTGCATGGGAATAAAATTGATCCTGATTCATAAGGGGAGGATTCTCACTGTGCAGGGCAGAGTTGCAGAGACCTGTGGAGAAGTGCAATTACAGATTGGAAATTTTGGAAATTCCCTTGGAAATTTTTTGTTAGTAGAATAAATTATTTCCTGAAGAAAACTAACCTGTGTAAAGGCTAACTGAGCCATTGGATTTCAGAAAGACTGAGAGCTCTATTGAAGGCTGTTTTCAGGTTTTAAAATGTTCTGTTGCTTAGTGGGGAGAGACTCTCTACTTATCTGTGAAATATTGTATAGGTATGATGTGAATTTTTCCTAGCCTCTTGCTCAAACTATGAAGTAACTTACCCCTATGCTCTGAAAATAACTTATCACTGTTACATTCTGAAAATGCATTTTCAGAATGTATTAGTTGCTAAGACACATGATTAACAGCCTTTTAGAAAATTAACCTAAAATAGAATGCTATGTGCTGAATCTTGAATGACAGGGTAACATGGATTTGATTTAGCAGTAAGACAAATAAGGGCTAATACTTTGTCTATGCAGCCATGCAGACCTGACTTGGATTCCCTTGTAGCTCGTTCTTTGAGACAGTAAGGTTTTGGAGAGCTGCAGCTTTGGTGCCCTCAGCCTGTGGGGAGATAGTACCTCATGTAATCTTACACTACTCATGTAACTTGTTTAAATATCCTTAATTTTAAAAGGCTTCTCTATTCTGTTTGTAAACTGCTAATATCAGTCTCTAGGCATTGGAAGGCATAACTGACAACTTCCCAGCTGCATGTTGGGCATTAGCAGGTGGTTCAGAAATGCCAAACTAAATTGAAGAGACAAGGTGGGAGAGTTAATTTTTTTTTTCTTTGACCAACTTCTGTTGTTCTTCAGAAGAAGAAAACTTCAGAAGAAGTTGGTGCAATAAAAGATATTACCTCACTAATCTTGTCTCTCTAATATCGTCCGACACAGCTACACTCCACTGCATAAACTAAATTAAATGTTGTCAAATCAATGTAAAGTTGGTATGTGTGGAGAAGTACTACTTACCATGTTAATCGGTGTGCTTTGATGAGCAAATTGGGGCATCTTCATTTTAATCTAAAAATTCCATTTACTTGAGTAATACATTTATCCATGGGGCATGCCTACAAGGATCACACTTCAAAGAAGATACTAGATTATTTTTCAGAGCCCCTGTATATATAATTATTGTTTTATTTTTTTAATAATCTTAATTGCTTGTACAGTTGAACAATAAAAATCCTTTGGCTCTTAGCAACCTTTTATCTCTAAGTGAGAAATGGCCAAACCAAGATACTGATTCTTCAAGGCCTTACACATAGGAGTAATCCTTACTCAGACAAGTAGTAAGAATTGCTCAAGTTTTGAAGTCGATGGGGTGTCCGTTTGCAGTGAGGATTATGCATATGAGTAAGATATAGCAGGATCTAGCCTTTTTCGAGCATATGATAATAGATTCCATGTCTTTATAAATACATGCCACTCACTGCCTGTGGCGAGTTTGAGAGAGCCCACCAGTGTTGGTGCAAATGACAGAGGCTGATGATGGAGACTGGAAACCATATTAATTTTATATTAATTTTTCTTCTTTCTATGCAGTATATTATCTCTAATCCTACATTAAGACCAAAGAGACAAATAAATAGACAAAACTTAACAATAAAGGCCAAGTTTTGCCAACCTTCTACTGAATAGTACTGCCATTTGTCCTATTGCAGCGTTTCCCAAACTGTGTTCCGCACGATGTGAATAGGTGTTCTATGAAAGAATCGTAATTAAAAAAAAGCGTCTTTAAATTTTTTTTAATTCTAAATTTTGCATATTTGAAGCGTAGTTTACAACTCTTTTTGAATGACTATAATTTAACATAAAACTTTTTCCGGTTATTGATAGATCTTGTATTGAATATCATGGCGTAAAATTATATTTGAGCATAAATAATGCAATTTTTTATTTGAAAATGAAACTACTACAAAATAATATTGTAAGTGTTCCGTAATAGGCTAAAAAGTGTTTCGTGGCCAAAGAAGTTTGGGAAACGCTGTCCTATTGTAATAAAGAGGGCTACTCACAGACCAATGTACGACTCCATGGAAATTAGGTTGGCAGAATAAGGCCCTATATAAACAGATGACTTTGGAAACTGAACAACTGGAAAATAGCCTAGTGTTGGTATTTTCTTACCATTGCTTTTAACTTGTTTCCCTGGCCACTTGGTGGTCCTGTTTCATCACATTCTAACCTTAAGCAAAGGGAAAAAGACCTGACTTGTCAAGTTATATGTCTATTCTTCATATTAATATGTTTCTGTATTATTTCTACAGTATATTAACTTATTCTCGAGATGGAAACACCATTGTTAGACAAATCAACATCACCGTGCAGTACTCCAAAGGACTGTGGGACACTAGCTCCTCAGAGCAGTGGCTCAGGGAAAAAGGTATGAAAACCTTTTATATACCATTCTATTAGTGAGGTTTTCCCATTGTAGCTAGGTATTGCAACACCAATAGTGAGCAAACTTTACTTGATGTTTGGCGGTCTATGGAATACTTTGACAGAATATATGTGGGAACAGATAGTTTATGCCCAGAATTAAAATTAATGGGTAATGTTCTCTAAGTATGTGTGCTTTGATTATGACATGGATTAAGTGCTGCACACCCTGAATGCCGAGCTAAAAGCTGATAGAAACCTTATAAATACCTATAAAGATATTCAGGACGTTATTTAAACTCACTTTTTTTAAATCCTTCTTCCCATCTGTACAAAAGGCTCCAAGTCTCAGTTCTCTGGGCTCCAGCATGTGCAGAATGGTGCTGCTGCTTCTGTATGTGTCAAAGTACAGGCAGAATAATACAATCACATTGCCCTTGCTCCAGCCCACTCTTCCCCGACCTTGCCCCCCTTTGTTCACTTAGCACTAGTTTAGTCGTCACATCACAGTCTTACCACAGTTATAACAGCATTACCCTTCGCTGCATCTGACAGCTTTCCATGCTGACTTTCCTATCTGTTTTCACATCATACCTGAAATCAAATTGGTATTATTTAACTCTAAGTTTGGAGCACAGCTTGTATGAAAAACTCTATGCAAAATAGAAATGCAATGTATTAGGTCTTATGATGTTCAGCTCTACATTGCCTATTCCTTCTCTGATGTAATGCCCCTGCATGCACCGTGTTAGTGATGTTAAATTGACCATGGCACACATTAAAACAGGGGCCTGGCCAGCATAGGCAGATTGTGATAAGTGTCTTTTAACTATATTGTTTAAATATTTTATAAGGATATAAAATAGTAGGCAAAGATCTTCAAGGATGACTAGTGATTTTTGAATTCAGTGACTTTGGGTTTTCGGAAAGTGCTGAGCACCCACCTTCTAAAATTAAGCCCTGTAAGGTACCTCAGATTAGTCACTCTAACACTGAGGCACTCAAAACCATAACCACTCTAAAATGGTGGCCTTGGTCTTTAAAAAGCAGTTTGGAATATAAATGTCTCTTGGCCGCAAGCCTGACACTTATTTGATTCTTCTGATGACCATGTCTGAGGTCCAGTGATGTTCAATGGTTGATGTAGTAGAAATAGTGGTAATGCTTGTTTCAGATAGAAATCTGAGGACTGGCTACCTGGGATAACCATTACAGCTGGAGAACTGCAACAGTGGAAGATGCCTATTATTATTTCTGGGGGAATGCTGGGCCAAAAAATTAAAAGCGTTGGGCCAAAAAAATAAAAATTCTGTGCACAATATTTAAAAAATTCTGCATATTTTATATGTCAAAATAACACAATATAATAATGCCAGTTTCAGTTATTTTGACAGGTTTCAGAGGAACAGCCGTGTTAGTCTGTATTCGCAAAAAGAAAAGGAGTACTTGTGGCACCTTAGAGACTAACCAATTTATTTGAGCATGAGCTTTCGTGAGCTACAGCTCACTTCATCCATGGTATACATCTGATGAAGTGAGCTGTAGCTCACGAAAGCTCATGCTCAAATAAATTGGTTAGTCTCTAAGGTGCCACAAGTACTCCTTTTCTTTTTTCAGTTATTTTGGTAATTTATTTCAAAATACCTGTTAGCAAGTAGGTCTGTAATAAAAGAGACAACAAAAAAGATTCAGGAAAATTTTTTTGATAAATAGATTCCTTACTAGGCATATTAATACAGAACTTTGAGTAATAATTCATTTAAACTACAATATAGAAACGTATTTCCCTCACCCCTCAGAAGCAGTGCAAAGGCTTGGGGGAGTCAGGGTAATGGAGGAGCTAAGAAAAAGGGAAGTAATTGCTGGGAAGGAGCCTGGGAATAAAACTGGAGGGTTGCTGGGTGTGGGTGGGAGAAGTATGGAACAGTTTTATTTGAGGGGGAGGGACTGTTAAGGAGTTAGGGAGCCTCCCTCATGCAGACCCTGGCTGACCCCTAGCATCTCCCTTTCAGCCAGGCATATCTGCACCCCCACTCCCATTCAGACCCTGGCTCAGTGTTATTGCCCCACTAGCTCCTATGCGCCCCACTAGCCCTTCTGAACCCCAGTCTGTGTAAACACCCCCACCCGCCAGCAGCACCACTCTGTCTCCCCTATATTCTGTGCCTTCTCACCTGGCTTCATGGGCAGAGTGCTGCGAGAAAGGCAGCCTCTGCTCCCTTCTTCTCCACAGCTGGCTGCTCCAGCCTGTGAGCCAGCTGCCTTCTCTTCTGGCACATCAGCCCCTGTTGGGTGAAAGGTATAATTGCAGCGTGACCTCTCTTGCGGCTTCCCTTCGCCTCCCCATCAGAGTCAATTATTCTTCAAGGGACCTTAACTCTGTGCTTGCGCAGTGGTGCAGAATTTCCCCAGGAGTATATTATGTTTGAATTAGTTAACTTAAATTACTTTAAATTAATTTAGTATGGTTCAATGCTTTCACCCGTACACATGTTGAGTAGTACTTTACTGTGCAAGTAGTCCCGTTTGGATTTTGAGTGCTACTCAATTTGAATCAGGGTGGCAAATTCAGGCTCATAAGAAGAATATATGTTGAATTGATTTTTAAAGCAGTATTTAGATATATCTGTGTTTACATTCAGTGAGGCAGCTTTCTTTCCTGCAGAATAGACCTGCAAGAATTTTCCTAGTAGAAAACACTTGAAAACAGTTTCAAAGCTACTATAAGCTGAATTCTATCATTTAATTTTTTGTTTAGTACTTACAGATTTGTGTTTTTTCCCTTAAACAAAAAAACAGGGGATCTGCCTTACAAATAACTTTGAAATGCTTGACTTGCAGTGCTGTCCAGTGGAGGAAAGGATTCCTTCAGTCCTACTTTGCATCATTAACTGGTCATGTAGGCAGAGGTTTCTTTAAAAAAATTATTATTGGTTTTTATTTCCAGAAACTTATTGATTTACTTCTTTATAATTATATTTATAGTGATTGTACTACCAAATATCACATTGTAGTTTTCTTTTAACTATTAATTTTCCTACTTTGGGGAGTTCATGCTAGGCTTTATATTTGGAAAGTACATAGCACATTGTGAGCAATATTGAAACTAAAAGGTGGGGGGAAATTACAAGGCTGTGCTATTGATCCAGTAGTTATCTTGAGTTCCCTCTAGTTCTGAAGCCTCCAGGAGTAGATTTCCATGCTAAGATTTTTTTACAGTGATGTTAACATACTGACCTGTAACAGTTTCTAAATTTTGACAATTAGGATAGTTGTACTTCCTTAAAGAAAATTCTCCTGGAGTCATTGAATAAGGACAGCAGGATTTAGTCCTGAGAGATGAAGTGAGGAAAATTGGAGCCACAACTCTTTCTTACATCTAGCTGCTGAGGGAGTGTGTGTAGGTATACATGAGAGGAGGAAGATAACTGCTCAGTCACATTTGTGAAATATGTAGTGGTAATTGTGAAAATTTACATTATAGTGGGGTTTACATATACTGTAAAAATTGAACTGGTAAACTTACTACTTATATTAAAGTCACTTCTGTTCTTACTTCTCCCAAATAAACAGTTTATATTAGCCAAAATATTGTTTGATTTTTTTTTGTTCCTTTGTCATTTTCTTTAGCCAATGAGCACAACACTTAAGGAGCGATTAAAGAAAGCAAGACGTTCGTTTAATTCCAGTTTCACTGTGGCAAAACGCCTTAAAGTAGATATTGAAGAAAAAGATTACAGTACTTCTGAAGAAGGGGCTCTGTTGGCAAAAGGAGCCTGTTCTAGATTACAAGATAGTTGTGAAATCCTGGAGAAGAACTGTGCTGCAGATATAAGTTTGAGTAGTCCTTTACAGGAGAGACATTGCTGTAGATTTGTTCAGAATTCTCCACACTCTGTGGTGTTGGGGGCTGACCTTAGTCAACAAGAACTACTGGAGGAAAAATTAAGATTGCTGAAGCAGGTCCAAGAGAAGGAAGAGCTGCTTCGAAGACTCAAACTGGTCAAGATGTACAGGTCCAAGGTGAGAAGAGTTTCTGAATAGGTCACACTATCTCAGCTCTAAGTCTTTTAATGTTTTTTGAAATGGTGCCAGGCAAGGGACAATATCAGGGCAAATTTTGGTTCTGTAAAAAGACATTTTTATAAACTCCTAAAACCAGCAGAAATTAGAGCTAGTCAAAAAGCAGGGAAGAAAGTTGGTTGATTTATTTATTTTTGTTTTTCTGTTTTAAATTTAATTTCAAAATTCAAAAAATTGTGACCAACTCCAGTAGAAATGTTTCTCTGTGTGTTCTTTTAAATTCTATTGGAAAAATATTTTTTTAAAACGAAAACATTCCTTAGTAGTGTTTCAAGCCTAAAGATTGCAGCATTGGGCTAATACATGAGAACCTGAAATTGAAACTGATGAGAAACCAAAATGAAAGACTGTTCTGTTTTCATCATCCAAACTAAAAGAAATGCAATAAAAATAATGCAAAATAATGTAGCTCTTTAAGAATGACTTTTAAACCTGATGTTTACTTCAAATACATCTTTAACTGTTCTTGACCTCTGTCTTTTATTGTGAAAAGTGTTCGCACTTGACTGGGAGACTACCAATGCTTGTCTACACTAGACAAAATTGGATGTGCAATTTACTAACAGTACAGCTCTACTAATAGAAACAACCACAGACAAGGCACTGGCCCTTTTTTTCCACCGTGTTAGGTTCTTGGGTCTGAATGCTGCCAATGTTGATGCAGCCCTAGGTATTGCTGAAAACAGTGTTGATTCACGAGATAGCACTTCTCTGTTCGATTACAACTTAATTTGCCATCATTGTTAGTGGATATTGTACTGCTGAAAGTGCAGAGATCCTATATGTAGATGATAAAGATCCATGCAACTTTTTGTAGGAGATGAGGGGTCAAATTCTAATTCACTTAATTACATTCTTCATACCTAAGCTTCCATATAGTTTTAAGTGGATGAGCTGTTTTCCCACTTCTTGTCCTGGACAGCACCACTACAGAAGTAATTGTTGCATTCCACTCCAGAGGAGGCAGAAATTCTCTCTGCATATAGCTTTTTATTGTAATTGTTTTGGGGCGCCTTCAGTTAATTAAGTTATATAAATATCTGTAAAGTTCCAAGTATTATTTTTCTATAATTTCTGCAACTCAGTAAGTAACCTTTCCCCCCACCGTTTCAGAATAACCCATCAGAATTGCAGTCTTTGATAACGAAATGGAGATGCAGCACCCAGTTGATGCTTTATGAACTCCAGTCAGCTTTGTCTACAGATGGCAGTAAACTGAGCCTCACTCTGTTGATAGACAATTTTGGATTAGAAGACAAGTTACTACACTACAGCAGAGCAGAAGATGACTTTACAGATATGTAATTTACCATTACAAAGGTCTCGGTTATAAAAAAAAAGTCTTCAGAAAAGATTAAATATCAACTGATTGCATCATAAGTATTAAACCATCATGATAGTTTGTTTCAGTAGTGGATTGTTGTAATAGACTGTGCTTATGTAGTTTTCTGGAAAGGATTATCTCTTGACTTATATGATAGAAACTTATTTACTGAGAAAATTGCCATTAGTGAAATGTGAAAATGAAATCTAGTAATATTGTAATTAAGCAGCGGGCTGTATCTTCTCATATCATTTTTACATTGTACATTCTCGTTTGATATAATGGGGTCAAGTTAACTGTTTTTTTCTAGTTAAGACTAAGATGTCGAGGAATTCAACACATACATATTCTGGAAGTTTCTTCAGTTTGCTAGTCAATTGATGCGAGCTTTCTAAGGGTTAAGTTCAGGTGTAATCACATTGCATATTCTCAATTACTGAAGCATATTGAGGTTTTTGTGCATGGCTTTATTTCTTGTGATACTAGAAGCAATACATATTCTATGGTGCTTAACAAAAACAGAACTGTGTCTAATATGTTTAAATGGCTGCATTTAATTGACATTTCTGCAATTATTCTTAGTAAATCCCAAAGCCATTTTCATCTTTTTAGGTTTTAGTTCTAATTTGTGAGTGGTATTTTATTATGTTAATTAGAGATTGTGAGAGAAATTGATTCCCTGTTGACTATCTCCTCCTTGACAATCCATTTATTTTAGCTACTTTCTTCACTGAATTTCTTTTTTTACTTTGAAACACTTTTCATCCAGTGTAAGTTTATAAGAACCCCAACTGCCCCCCATACCTCCAGAATGCACCGATTCGTTGTACACATACAGATTCCTAATCTGCTGTAACTTTGTTTTATTGTACATGTGACAATCTATACTCCCTTCCTCAACACTGAGACACTTCTGATGTACCTGCAGGGAAATCAGGAAAAATCTGAGTTTAGAAGTAGCATATTTTTGTTTTGCTGTTTCAGATTACCATGCTCCTGTTTATCAGGTGACACTAGACCTAAATTCTGCAGCAAGGCCCTCTTGGGTAGAAGGTGAATTTTACTGCTAACTGGGAATTTATATAAGCAGTGTTTATTATTAAATCATTTGATAATCTGTGTAGTTACCAAAATGAAAAAGGGGCTGAAACAGTGTCTTGGGTAAGAAGATGGGGCATCCAGAAGGGATTAGCTGCCCTCCCAGGACTCTTCGGTTCTGCTAGATTGGAATTCAACCCCTGCCTCCTGATGAGGACTTGGTACGAGGTAAGAAATCTGGGAAGAACCATGGAGGGGTAGTTAGACTACTTATGAATCATAGTTAAAATGATAAAGCAATAAACAGAAGTCAGATCTAGAAGGAGGCAGCAAAAGCAATTGAGAAGTTTTAATAACAAAAGTAGTATTTCCTAAACAAAAGTATTAATGCTGTTAGTGATGTCACCTTGGAATGGGGCTCTGACTTGAGGCATATTTCCTAGGAAAGATGAGGGAAGAAACAATTTAGAACAGGTGGGGGGAAATTGTAATGGCAGGAAATTCCTGTGCAGGTCCATCTTAAACCACATGGTAGAATTTACTAAAGGTTCCTCTTTTCCTTATCTGCTTCCCATCTCTTTTGCGGGGAGAAGTGGTGTGAGAAGAAATTTCATGCCAACACATCTGAAGTTGGACTCCACTAGTGGGGCATATAGTAGAAACTGTTTAAGAAGAGTTCAGTAGGGTAGCTCTAATGAGGCTTATTTAATCTACAGACTGTGAGATTTATTTTTTTTTAAATACAGTGAAGTGGAATAAAATTTAAGAGCAGAAATAAGATGATCTAATAATGGTTTAAAAAGGAAAAGATGTTCAACTCTTTAGGATTCAAAATTATTAACAGCGTATGTAGACTTAAATTGTATCTTCCAGAATTTAAGAGTTTTGAAAAACAGTTCATACTTCACTTACACAATTCTGAACGTGGAAGGCTTGGTATCATGTCAATTACAGCAGTTGAAAAAACTGCTCTCAGCACTGTTTTTACGTGTCTTTTTCCTGTGATGACAGATGTTGACCTGTTCAGTGTGCGATGGCATCAACTAAGGAGGTAAAATACAGGATCCTGAACTCAAGACTTGGGAGTTAAATGAAGCAGTAGTGTTGTTTTTTCTAATTTATATAATCAAGGTAAAGTGCACCTAATGCTGCCTGTTATGATGGTATCTTGTAGCAATGATGATGAACTGTTTTATTTTAAATAATCAGTATATTTGTGATTTCATTCAACATGTATACTAGTAATTTGATTTTCAACAAAACTATTTTTAGTTATACTACTTGACAGTTTTGCCCTATATCTTTTTCTTAAGTAAATACAATTCAGGGTTTCCTGAATTGCTTCCATTCTTCAGCATCATAGGAACGTACATTGCTGACCACAGAATACACAAGGTGACTATGTTGTTCAAAACATCTGTTTCTATAGTAATAAACACGTGTCTGTCATTAAGCTGTGAAATCATAAATTCCAGTTTTACAACAGGCACACCAAAATTGGGTATAAAATGTACAAAATAGCTTTCATACTCAGTCTAGTAAAATATTTTAAAATAGTAAATAAAGGAAGAAATCAATTCTTTTGTGGAGAGATATATCTACGGTAAGCAAAGGAGATAAGCAATGATGAACTCATATGCGTTCATGTTGGTGGAAGTACGCTTCTGCTAATATTCTGTTTCAAAAAGGGCAGGAAATGTTCTCATTCTCAGCCTTTCAACTTCTGACTGAAGAACTGCAATCTCCTGGGCCTGTTCTTTTGCAAGATCCACTAGCTGTCGTCGCTGCACAATATCTCGGTAATGCTCCTTTGCAGCTTTTTCAGAAATCAGCTGTGTGTCTGTGCAAAGCAAAATATCAGAAATAGTTCATATCAGAGAAAAACCTATTGTTGTAGGCCCTGCCCCAGGGCATATATTATTTCAGTGACAAGTATTGTACAGTCTGGGCTAAACTTTCAAAAGAGCTCACACTTGGGGACAAATTTTTGCTCTTGTAATGTACTGCTACTTCTGTTTTGCCCAGGCACAAATGGTGAGAGGAAGAGGGATGAATTTATATTTTAGAGAGGACAAAGGCATTGTACCAAAGTCTCTGCTGATGCAAATGGGAATAGTTTTACGACTTCAGTGGAGTTTCATAAACTTATACCAACAACAGTTAATTAACTTGAGTTACAACAGGAGCAAAAATCTCAAGTCTAGACATCTCCTTAGTGTCTGATGGATACTGAAATAGCTCTCTTAGGCAGGGCAATACCAGCTGTGTATATGTAACATACAAAAAATCTGCTGCTGGCAGTGTTTTGTCCCTGTAGTGCTGCTGATGGAGAGTAGAACTGACCAGCTTTGGAGCTGTATTTTATGAATGTCTTTTACTTGTGTCCTAGAGCGTGCTACAGAATGGGACTCACCAGCTGCTTCAAAGATGTGCCGCCTTTCTGAAACAGACACAAGCATTTCTTGCAGCTCCTGGCTGAGTTTGTAGTTTGCTTGTTCCTTTAGACAGATGCGCTTCTCCAGATCTTTAAATACTTTCTGACGGTTCTTCACATTCTTCTTGTGCAACTGTCCATTTCCAGTTGAATAAAGCAAATATGAGACTTTAATAAAGCTGCTTGAACAAACTTTATATGGAAATCTATCAACTAAAACACCACCTTGGGGCTCAGTTTGCTTTTATATTTGGCTAGTTGGTACAATGCAACTTTATTTTACACAGCACCTTTCATACAAATTGTATCCTAACATTCTTTATGGAGTATCAATGTAACCACTAGCAGACAGGAAAAAGCTAAGAAGTATGGACCAGCTGGAAAGAGACTTTAAGATGAAACTTGAAAAGAGGTGTAGTCAAGGATGCAGAGATGCAGGAGCACTATCTCAGATTGCAGTAGCTACAGAGACAAAGACTCGTCTGCCAATTTTGGTGAAATTGTGTGAAAGGATGGAGAGGAAGGCGGAAAATGCTAAAGCTGGGAGGAGGAGCATAGGGAGACAAAGTTGGGGATGGTGTCAGTTATTACACGCTGGAGCAAGTCCATGGAATCTTTTAAAAACAAGGGCAATTTCTATTTGGATGAGCCAGTGGATGGGTGCTGTGCGCATGCTTCTTTGTACGTAGGCGAGCAGCACTATGCATGTGTAGGAGTGAGAGGCTGGATATGAGAAGCCCATAAAGAAAGCTGTTTCAGTACAGAAAGCAATAGGAGATGAAGACCTGAAGGAAAACTTGACTAGAAATGGAGCAGAGTGGAATACACACACAATGCTCTGCAGGTAGTGATATGCAGATCTGCAGACAAATGTGAGGAAGCACAGTTCGGTGTCAAGGATAATACCAAGGTTTTGGGCAATGGGAGGCTTAGTTGAGGAGGAAGGGAAGGAGTTATGTTGAACAGTGCTACTCACAGGTTCATCTGTTCAATTACAACACATTTAGGCGGCTCCTTCACGGAGCCGTGAGCACGGGCATGTACCTGATGTTTCACCACTCTCCCTGACACTTGCCCCTTCTGCAGCATGAGGAAGACCCTGGCATACATCTGCCTTGAGTGCGCCAGGTTGCAGCCCCTTTTCTGGCTCCTCCAGAACCTTCTCAGTTTCTGGCTGTACTTTTCCCCACAACTTCTGGTACTTGCACACCCCATGAAGTCATGAGACCTTGTCAACCTCCAGCTGGGGAAGGAGCTTTTAGATGTGGGCGGGCTTCTGGCCACCCTCCCCCAGGAACTGAATAGGTACAACACATTTTGGATTTACCTTATCCATCACACCAAGCGTCTGTTCCATTACTGAAACCTGTTGGGTGATGCGGCTGTCATAGTTTAGTACACTTAGGAACTGCAGAATAAAAAGAGAGAAATCAGACTACTGGGTATTTCAACCATTCCAAGATCCTAGGTTGGCAGTTAAGCTATATAAAGTTTAGAAAAAACATTTGTTTTAATCTTGGATAGCACAAAGCAGTTCTATAAACCATAAAATGAACATTTCTAAGATGATGTCTTAGACGCTGCTTGAATATTTGAGAACATTCTATTCAAGCATTCATTATGTCTAGCATTGTTAACCCTAATACACTCAGTGTGTCTGTTGTTAGAAGAAGCTCTCAAAATCTGTAATCTCTAAGAGTAAAGGTTTTAAAAGAAAGTCCAATGGTTTAGGTGACTAAGGCTCTGGAGGTTATGCGCTACGTAGCAAAGGTACACTTTTACCAGCCATTCTCCCAGTGACAGAACCAGGCTGGCTAAGTCCATTTACACTGTATTAATTAGATGTGATATACTCCCCAAGTCATGTTCATGGGGGAGAATGCAAAATGTTTCTGCCTAATCTAGCTAGACAGAGACTAATGTCCCACGGAGCCCATAAGCACAGTTCTAACAGATGGTACCTTTTGAGAAGGAACGCTTTTTCTTTATGAAGTGACCACCTTATAGTTCTGAATTTTGTTACTTTACTTTCACAGTAATTTTTCTAGATAATTTATTAAAATCTTTCTCTGGGAGACACCAATAGGTAGCATATTGTTTCCAAGGATCTTGTTGTCAGGTGGGAAACAAAGTAGTCTTAAATAACTCGTGACCAATAGCAATCAGATGTTTGTAGATGACTTGTCCACTTCCTGGTTCAGGTAAGCCTTTTTGGGATCACCCAAACAAATAGCAGCGCACTGTTGGTGATTTTGCTGCAGGAACTTTCCAGCTTACAGTCACCTTTTGGGTACCTGTTGGCTCTTTTGTTGGCATCAGTCCTAACAGTCCCCTTTTTGCACTTCTGAAGTCAGAAAATTCAAAAGTGGCTGCCTTTTTTAAAAAAAAAAAAAAAAAAGCACACTAATAATGTTTTGATTTTCTGTGACATACCAAATGGAGGCACTTCAGAACTTTCATTTAAGATCAAGAATGTTTTATTTAAAGATGAATTACTTAAGGCTGTGAAATCCTGATTCCTTGCTTTAACTGCCAATATTGATACTCGGAAGTTTAGAACCAATTGTGCCTGCAGTTACACCTAGGCTTAACAAAATTCAATTTTTTTTTTATAATTTTGACAATACCAGTGGCTATTGGACAGGATGGGCAGTGATGATGTCCCTAGCCTCTGTTTGCCAGAAGCTGAGAATGGGTGACAGGGGATGGATCACTTGATGATTCCCTGTTCTGTTTATTCCCTCTGGGACACCTGGTACTGGCCACTGGTGGAAGACAGGATATTGGGCTGGATGGACCTTTAGTCTGACCCAGTATGGCTGTTTTCATGTTCTTATCAAATTAAGTGAGGGGTTAGGGCAGCACTGATAGAAGTGCTGCAAGAGGATACCTGTATGGCTGAGGGGCCCAAGACACCCAAGTGCGGGGGAGGCTGTGGTCCTGGTCCAGCAGAGCAGAGACCCCCAGCTATGGGGCATACCACCCTGCTGCTGAATGGCTGCTTGCTGGGGACAGTCCAGCATACTCCAATGCTAAGTAATTGAGTGGGCCCTGTGGGCCTAGTTCCAGGGCGGTCTGCACTTGCCGACTGTTATTGATGGATTTTTTTTTGAGAACGGGGGTTCTCTTTCTCAAAAAGAAAAGGAGTACTTGTGGCACCTGAGAGACTAACCAATTTATTTGAGCATAAGCTTTCGTGAGCTACAGCTCACTTCATCGGATGCATACTGTGGAAAGTGTAGAAGATCTTATTATATACACATAAAGCATGAAAAAATACCTCCTCCCACTCCACTCTCCTGCTGGTAATAGCTTATCTAAAGTGATCACTCTCCTTACAATGTGTATGATAATCAAGGTGGGCCATTTCCAGCACAAATCCAGGTTTTCTCACCCCCCCCCCCCCCACAAACTCACTCTCCTGCTGGTAATAGCTTATCCAAAGTGACCACTCTCCTTACATTGTGTATGATAATCTAGGTGGGCCATTTCCAGCACAAATCCAGGGTTTAACAAGAATGTCTGAGGGGGGGAGGGTAGGAAAAAACAAGGGGAAATAGGCTACCTTGCATAATGACTAAGCCATTCCCAGTCTCTATTCAAGCCTAAGTTAATTGTATCCAATTTGCAAATGACTTCCAATTCAGCAGTTTCTCGCTGGAGTCTGGATTTGAAGTTTTTCTGTTGTAAAATAGCGACTTTCATGTCTCTAATCGCGTGACCAGAGAGATTGAAGTGTTCTCCGACTGGTTTATGAATGTTATAATTCTTGACATCTGATTTGTGTCCATTTATTCTTTTACATAGAGACTGTCCAGTTTGACCAATGTACATGGCAGAGGGGCATTGCTGGCACATGATGGCATATATCACATTGGTAGATGTGCAGATGAACAAGCCTCTGATAATGTGGCTGATGTTATTAGGCCCTGTGATGGTGTCCCCTGAATAGATATGTGGGCACAGTTGGCAACGGGCTTTGTTGCAAGGATACGTTCCTGGGTTAGTGGTTCTGTTGTGTGGTGTGTGGTTGCTGGTGAGTATTTGCTTCAGGTTGGGGGGCTGTCTGTAGGCAAGGACTGGCCTGTCTCCCAAGATTTGTGAGTGTGTTGGGTCATCCTTCAGGATAGGTTGTAGATCCTTAATAATGCGTTGGAGGGGTTTTAGTTGGGGGCTGAAGGTGACGGCTAGTGGCGTTCTGTTATTTTCTTTGTTAGGCCTGTCCTGTAGTAGGTGACTTCTGGGAACTCTTCTGGCTCTATCAATCTGTTTCTTCACTTCCGCAGGTGGGTATTATAGTTGTAAAAATGCTTGATAGAGATCTTGTAGGTGTCTGTCTCTGGTCCAGTCCACACAAGAGATCCACTTCCTGGACACTACAGTGCTAATAAACGATGGTCACATAACCACCACCCTATACCGGAAACCTACTGACCGCTATTGCTACCTACATGCCTCCAGCTTTCACCCTGACCACACCACACGATCCATTGTCTACAGCCAAGCTCTGCGATACAACCGCATTTGCTCCAACCCCTCAGACAGAGACAGACACCTACAAGATCTCTATCAAGCATTCTTACAATTCAAGCATTCTTACAACTACAATACCCACCTGCGGAAGTGAAGAAACAGATTGATAGAGCCAGAAGAGTTCCCAGAAGTCACCTACTACAGGACAGGCCTAACAAAGAAAATAACAGAACGCCACTAGCCATCACCTTCAGCCCCCAACTAAAACCCCTCCAACGCATTATTAAGGATCTACAACCTATCCTGAAAGATGACCCAACACTCTCACAAATCTTGGGAGACAGGCCAGTCCTTGCCTACAGACAGCCCCCCAACCTAAAGCAAATACTCACCAGCAACCACATACCACACAACAGAACCACTAACCCAGGAACCTATCGTTGCAACAAAGCCCGTTGCCAACTGTGCCCACATATCTATTCAGGGGACACCATCACAGGGCCTAATAACATCAGCCACACTATCAGAGCCTCGTTCACCTGCGCATCTACCAATGTGATATATGCCATCATGTGCCAGCAATGCCCTCTCTACATTGGTCAAACTGGACAGTCTCTATGTAAAAGAATAAATGGACACAAATCAGATGTCAAGAATTATAACATTCATAAACCAGTCGGAGAACACTTCAATCTCTCTGGTCACGCGATTAGAGACATGAAAGTCGCTATTTTACAACAGAAAAACTTCAAATCCAGACTCCAGCGAGAAACTGCTGAATTGGAAGTCATTTGCAAATTGGATACAATTAACTTAGGCTTGAATAGATACTGGGAATGGCTTAGTCATTATGCAAGGTAGCCTATTTCCCCTTGTTTTTTCCTACCCTCCCCCCCGACGTTCTTGTTAAACCCTGGATTTGTGCTGGAAATGGCCCACCTTGATTATCATACACATTGTAAGGAGAGTGATCACTTTAGATAAGCTATTACCAGCAGGAGAGTGGGGTGGGAGGAGGTATTTTTTCATGCTTTATGTGCATATAATAAGATCTACACTTTCCACAGTATGCATCCAATGAAGTGAGCTGTAGCTCACGAAAGCTTATGCTCAAATAAATTGGTTAGTCTCTAAGGTGCCACAAGTCCTCCTTTTCTTTTTGTGAATACAGACTAACACGGCTGTTACTCTGAAACCTGTCATTATGCATGGTTCTCTTTCTGAGTGTCAGGTGAAATTGACATTTACCAATGACTAATGATTTTAATTGAATCTTCCCAAGCCTAGTTACACCTGTACAACTCCAAAGACTTCAGAATTACACAAATGTCAAAGAAAAATTTAGTCCTTAATGTTAAATTGCTGTCCTAGCTTGGGCTGGGTTTCCCTATAGATGTAGGACAACTGAAGAATACAAATAATGGTACAAACATAGGCAGCAGCTTTTCTCCAGATAAAATCTCAATTTCAGAGTTACTTACGAGCTGGCGATCGCGTGAAACATGCAGTTTTTGAATATCCCGAGCCTTCTGGTTTAGATCTTCCATCAGCATCTTCATTTTTTTATGTTCCCATTCCAGCTGAAATATCCCTTTAGAGAAGTCTTTACTTTCCACCATGCTAGCAATTTTCTTTTCTCCTTGAGCCTAAAAAAGATTAATTTTAGCATAATTTATGGATTACAGAATAATTTTTCCTGTAACAGGATGAACAGGACTTCTAATTTCAGTAATTTTAATGTGCTACATTGCAATCATTTTCAGAGGCTGGTGTCCAGACAGACTTCATGTCAAAAAAGCTAACAATGTTAGGAACCATTAGGAAAGGGAGAGATAAGACAGAAAATATCATAACGCCACTATATAAATCCCTGGTACGCCCACACTTTGACTACTACATGCAGTTCTTGTTGCCCTATTTCAAATACATACTAGAATTAGAAAAGATACAGAGAAGGGCAACAACAATGACTAAGGGTATAGAACAGCTTTGGATGAGGAGAGATTAAAAAGTCTGTCACTTTTCAGCTTGGAAAAGAGATGAATAAGAGGAGATATGATCAAGGTCTGTAAAATCATGAATGGTGTGGAGGAAATGAATAAAGAAGTGATATTTAGTCAGTCACATAATACAAGAACCAGGGGTCCCCCAATGAAATTAATAAGCAGCAGGTTTAAAACAAAAAAAAAGGAAGTACTTCTTCACACAATGCACAGTCAACCTGTGGAACTCATTGCCAGGAGATGTTGTAGAGGCCAAAACTCATAACCAGGTTAAAAAACGGATTAGATAAGTTCCTGGAGGATAGGTCCATCAAAGGCTATTAGCCAAGATAGTCAGGGATGCAGCCCCATGCTCTGGGTGTCCCTAGCCTCTGAGTGCCAGAAGCTGGGAGTTGATGACGGGATGGATCACTTGATGATTGCCTTGTTCCGTTCATTCCCTCTGAAACATGTGGCTTTGGCTGGTCAGAAGACAGGATACTGGGCTAGATGGACCATTGGTCTGACCCAGTATGGCCATTCTTATATTCTTTTTTATGGAACTTGTTGCCTGTTGCTGACACTTTAAATTAACGCTACTGCTTCAGCCTTGTATCACAGATGAGGGTGAAACAAATTGCAGTCAATAGCTATCTGTTCTCCCACCTTATATAAGTGCTGTGGCCCATGGTTTTAAAGGTATTTAGGCATTGCTGAGCTTAGCTTTGCAACACCTAACTGATTTAGGGGCCTGTCATTTTCAATGGTGATTTGGGAGCCTAAATCCCATCAACTGTCAATGGAATTTTGGCTCCTAAGTGCCTAAATCCTTTTTGGAAATGACGTTGAGGCTCCTAAATGAGGTAGGCATTGAATCGGTGAACTCAGCAATGCTTAAATACCTTTAAAAACGTAGGCCTAAGCATTTTTCCTCCACACATGCCAAAGGCGGCACACAAGCTGATCTTTAGTGGCACTCTGCTGCCAGCCAGGGTCCCAGCTGCCAGCCCCACTCCGCCCACTGCTGGCCTGGATGGACGGAACCCCAGCTGAGCAGGGCTGGCGGCCGGGACCCCGGCTGGCAGGGGCTGGCAGATGGAACCCCAGACCAGCAGCGGGCTGAGCAGCTCAGCACACTGCCGGTCTGGGGTTCCGTCTGCCAACCGCGCTGCCGGTCTGGGGTTCTGTCCGCTGGCCCCTGCCAGCCGTGGTCCTGGCCGCCAGCCCCGCTCAGCCCACTGCCGGCCCAGGGTTCCGTCCATCCAAGCCGGCAGCTGGTCTGGGATTCCGTCTGCCGGCCCCTGCCAGCTGGGGTCCCAGCCGTCGGCCCCACTCAGCCCGGCTGCCAGTCTGGGGTTCCGTTGGGGGCCCCTGTAAATGTAAAATTTATTACTGGCACGCCAAACCTTAAATTAATGAAGACTTGACACGCCACTTCTCAAAGGTTGCTGACCCCTGCTCTACAATATTTGAACTTGTCCCAGTTTCAGGTATTTTGCAGTTACCACTGAAGGTTGTATGCAGTAGCAATAAAAAGCAAATTTTTATGCAGCTGGGATGGCAAGAAAATAACCTTTATTGTGAGTATGAAAAATGAAATGTGCCATGTATGATCCCACAATTTCACCTTTATATAAAAGGAGAATCGCTTAATTTTTGGAAGTTTCACTGTAACCCAACATTCAGTTACCTGACATGACTGCACAACTGGGGAATGTAGGAGTGGTGTATAGGATATTAATTCTCTATAAACAGCATGGACATAGTGCTTAAAGATGCTGCCTTTCCGCTGATCAGGATTCCAGTGATCAGTGCTCAGGATGGTAGCCTTTATATTAGAGATGTTACAGAACTCATAATAGCTTCAAGGACCTTTCAAAACAAAGGTAACAATTGAGCCCATTGGTATATGGAAGTGCATGAAAAGAGATTAAATCAGTATTACAGAGATGTCAAACTAGATAAAAGCTGCAGTCTCTAAAGGAAAATCCATTCATTTAAAGCCCTTAATTTCCTCCAGAAAATGTAAATTACCCGGATTGTGCAATTCAGTTCTTCAATAACACTCTTGTGAATGAGAATAGCATCAGTATAATCTGGTATTAGCTCAGCAGCACTCTCCAATTCCACCTGTCCTTGTTTAAGCAGAAATTGGATAGTCAAATCCAGTTGAAACCTCATCTTTTCCTCTCGTAGCCTAAAATTGCAGAGAATCAATAGTAGTTTTTAGTGATTGATAAAATGCTTGTATTTTAAATCTTCTCTATGATCAGAGGGTAACAGAAAGATTAGGAAATCATCTGAAAAACAGAAAGGGTCACTGCAATTTTCATAATTCTTTGTGTTTGCTAATGACCAAATGCATGTTTCAGCAAGGGTTTGTTCCCTCACACCCTGTTTTCTCCTATTTGCTCCTACAGTGAGTGCTTCTTTCTACACAGACTGTGTTTTGTCTTCACTGCCAGGTCAAGCAGAAGTTATACGGGAGAAAGACCCTACTGAACAAAGAAAAACTTTATCAATAATTGTAAAAGCATGACAGAAACCTCCCCCACCCTAGTCAAGTACATTTCTTTTTGTTTAATTATCTTGGAGTTTGTTCCCAAATAACACTCCCATTTCAAATGTGGTGAGAACCAGATGGTGTAGTAGCTGATAGAATAAGAAAAATACAGCATTACGTGTTTGAACCTCTCATTGAAGTCAAGGCTCTTTCAGAATTGGGCTCTATGTCTCTTAGATGAGTTTTAGAGAGAAGTGTGATACAGTACAGAACTGTACACTTCTCACTAGACTTAATTCTGTGTCAGCAGAGTGCTAAAGTGTAGATGAATGTGAATGTAAGAATAATAAGCAAAATTACGTATTGAGTTCATTTAAAATTTTTTCAATGTCCATCCTTATCTTCTCATCATCATCAATCCTTTTCTGGAGAAAGGCCTGCATCTCCGCTAGCGTCAGGGCTTTCCGTTTCACCTAAGCAAACAACATCACAACTACTTGAACACACTGAACTTTGCAAATATAGAGGAAAACCTTTTATGGTAGACAGACTTTTGCTCATTCTTCACAAGAACAGATATTTAAGATCTGGATGAGGGAGCTGGCTACCTTCCTGACTCCCATTAAAGTCTAGGCAAGTCCACAATTGTAGTCCTTAGCTGCTCTTTGAAACTTTACCCTTTACTGATGCATATTTTTTTCCTATGAAAGGAAGGTCTCATTTCCTTCTCACTTCAGCAAAGCAAAACGGATCTTAGCTACATCTTTGGATATTTAAGGTTTACATCTTGGTGACCTTAATTATATTAGTATAATAGAATATAATTTAATGTAATATATTAATATACCTTAACCTCAATTAATAGTGTAACAGGGCTTTCTATCAACATGTTAGGATTTTCTTTTGATGCACTAGGAAGGAAAAAGCATTCATCAGGGTAAACAAATGCAGCAGATTTACACGTAGGTTACAGATGCAGAATGGTAGGATACACCTTGATGGTTTGCTTTTGTTTTGGTGGGGATGGGGGAAGGAGAATGAGGAGGGATACTTTGAGACAGCTCCTACTTCCCACTTATTTTCTTTAGAGGAGAGCAGGATGTGGCTTCCTCGGAAGCTATTCATACTGCTCTGTATCTGCTGAAAGAGGGAGCTTTGCTAGAGTGTGATGACTACTCAGCTCATTCACACTCTGGAAGTGAGCTAGGGACTCACAGATCACCTACACTGTGCTGCCACTTGCTTAGTCCTCAGAACTTGATGCTCTGGGTTAAGATCCCAAAGCATCAAAGAGTATAAAACAGTAAATCAACAGCAAAATAAAATCTGATGGAAATAGCTTGACGTACCAGCTGTTCGCTTTCCACTTTTGTTCGTCTAGCCAAACAGAAACGTTCCCAGATCGTCGGGTCTAATCCCTCAGGCATGTTTTCAGGGTCATCCATTTCATCTATGGCTTTCATTAAATGGGCAAGTGCCTCTTCGTAAGCTCTGGCTGAGCCTGGCCGATCTCCATAAGGGTTAGCAGTGTCAAGGTGCATCTTGATCTTCTGGGCTCTGGTGTCATCAACCGTGGCATACATAGTAAAATAAATATTTTATCTTTCTTCTTACTTGCTACATAGAACAAGGTCTTGTAGCACTAAAAACGCTTCTCACCATTGTCTTAATCTCTTTCAGCATGCAACCAGGAAATATTATTTAAAAAACATAATATTTTTTTGGGTTTGTTTTGGGTGGTTATTTATTAATTATTATAATCATAGAATCCTAGAATATCAGGGTTGGAAGGGACCTCAGGAAGTCATCTAGTCCAACCCCCTGCTCAAAGCAGGACCAATCCCCAACTAAATCATTCCAGTCACGGCTTTGTCAAGCCGGATCTTAAAAACTTCAAAGGAAGGAGATTTCACCACCTCCCTAGGTAACCCATTCCAGTGCTTCACCACCATTCGATCCCTAGTCTGTAGTGGTACATGAGATTCTTCTGTCCTAAGTGCAGGACTCTGCACTTGTCCTTGTTGAACCTCATCAGATTTCTTTTGGCCCAATCCTCTAATTTGTCTAGATCCCTCTTTATCCTATCCCTACCCTCCAGCGTATCTATCTCTCCTCCCAGTTTAGTGTCATCTGCAAACTTGCTGAGGGTGCAATCCACGTCATCCTCCAGAAGATTTTCATAGAATATCAGAGTTGGAAGGGACCTCAGGAGATCATCTAATCCAACCCCCTGCTCAAAGCAGACACAATCCCCAATTTTTTTTGCCCCAGATCCCTAAACGGCCCCCTCAAGGATTGAACTCACGTCCCTGGATTTAGCAGGCCAATGCTCAAACCACTGAGCTATCCCTCCCCCTAACCGGCCCCAGCACCAACCCTTGGGGCACTCCGCTTGATACTGGCTGCCAACTAGACATGGAGCCATTGATCACTACACGTTGAGCCCAACAATCTGGCCACCTTATAGTCTCTCCACCTTATAGTCCATTCATCCAGCCCATACTTCTTTAACTTGCAAGAATACTGTGGGAGACTGTGTCAAAAGCTTTGCTAAAGTCAAGGAACAACACGTCCACTGCTTTCCCCTCATCCACAGAGCCAGTTATCTCGTCATAGAAGGCAATTAGATTAGTCAGGCATGACTTGCCCTTGGTGAATCCATGCTGACTGTTCCTGATCACTTTCCTCTCCTCTAAGTGCTTCAGAATTGATTCCTTGAGGACCTGCTCCATGATTTTTCCATTTTAAATAGCATATATAATGTGGGGAGAGGAGAAGATTGCTTTAAAATGTCTGTCAGTCATCCATATGATAGTTGGTCATCAACAATGGTTAATGACCATCGTCATTACAGAGGTGCAGTTTTAAAAACAGGTTAGTAATCAATGGCCTACTGCTAACTAAGATACTTCACAGAGCTTAGAAAATAGACTCTCCTCTCCCATCATAAAGGTAAAAACAATAACGTAGAAAATGGTTTGAGTCAAAGGGAATTTTACCGTGGTCGGCGTTTGTAAAGTTTGAAAAGATGATCAATGTGATGCGCCGGAACATCAGAAAATTCCTTTTTAAAGCCACGTTCCAGAATCTAGCAGGAAAAATAATCAGCAAAACTTCAGCATGCACATATCCTAGAAATATAGAATAATGACGCATGCTAAAAGGTGCTAGGTGGAGTTGGGCTATTTCATAGATTGCCTCTCTCAGAGATGACAATTTATCATGTCTGTTGTGCTTTTTAAAACCCAGAGAAGTGTCTACAAAAAGTGAGACTAGCAGGTTAAGCGTAGACAGTGGTCTTGGCATTTTGCAAGAGACGCAGTCCTTGCCCAAGAAACTTACTGAGGCATGATCCTGACCTAGCCAAGAACTGGAGCATCTGAGTATTCCCACTGACTTCAGTGTTTCATCAATCTGTATGGAACTACTCACATGTTTAAGTGTGCTGCTGAACTGGGGCCTAAATACTGTATATTCTGGAGGTGTAGCACCGAACCCCTTTTTATTATTTTTTTTGCAATTGCATCTGCTTGAACATATGACTAGGACTCTTACTTTGTCTTCAGCTGCTAAGTTGTCATAGGTCTCCCTGTAAGCATCATCTTGTGCTCGTGCAACCTGGACCGCCTCTGCAGTACTGAGCTGTAACAAAACCAGATGGATTTCAGAAACAGAACTAAAAGTAAACACAGCTGCTGGAATGCTATTCAAATGTATTACACATGCTGAAGAGATGTCTTGTCTCAGCTTAAGATACAACAATTGGGTTAAATTCACCTCTGGTGTAACATGCTCCAAAGCAGACACCACAGACAGCACTCAATATGTCATGTGCCTGTCTGATCTCTAAATTGGATTCCTGCAAGGCTTTCTATATGGGGCTACCTGTAAAGACCATACAAAAGGGTCAGCAGGTGCAAAATTTAGCTACCCAACTGCTTAATGAGGTTTGTCATAAGGAGCACATTATTTAAGTGCTCTATAGACTGCAATGGCTCACTATGCAATTTGGGGTGCAATGTAATATGTTGATGATAGTGGTCCCCAGCTACCCGAGTGTCTGCCTCTCTCCCTGAATAGCATGACAGGTGAGATCAGCTAGTGCAAGAGGTCCCTAGGTTTGCATATCTGTAGAACTGGTCCAACAACAGATTTACAGGTGAGCTTCCAGAATAAAGCAGTCAGAATCTTATAGAACATTTGTAGTCCTGTATATACTTGTGTACAAGTGCAGAAATGTTTGTTTTGAACTCCAAAGTCACTATGTTGGGTTATACATGGCTCATCAGTGGTGGGCAAACCCTGACAACTTCAGTTTCAGGAAATTAATTCAAATTTCTCCGAATTTTCCATTTTCTTCTCTAAGAAAGATGGCAACATTAGATATCTTTTTGTGCAGGGTTCTTGTAGCAAAGGCATTATCAGTGCTACCAGACAAATTACAGACTGCCACAGGATACTAAAATAGTGTATTTGACAGATAATGTCATGCTTTCCTCAGGGTATGGAAATTTACACATGTAATTCCAGACAAGCTGAGAGAAGTATATACCCAAGAAGAGGTGCCTTTAGTATAGGAGTCTTCTGCCACCCTTAAAAAAAAAAAAAAAGATCAACAGCTGTGTAAATCATGAGGGAAATTATCTGTGGCAGCTTGGGCAACATTTTTATTTGTAAAGAGCAGGTTCCATATGAAAATGGTTGGAGCCTTATAGTCCAAGTACTGGACTCACCTTCTCCTTCTGCTTCTTGTCAAGGAAGTGGTTCAGTCCAGCTTCTCTTGTGCTCAGCTCTTCATCCAACAGCAAAGAGTAAAGGAGGTTGTTTATTTTGAGTTCCTCCTGTGGAAAGATTGTAAGGAGAAAGATCAGCACGCTTGCAGCTTGGGAGATGGAGATAAAAATCCAAGATCTCTGCCTTACCTGGTATATGACCATCTCTGATTTAACTTTCCGCTCAAACAGCTTGCTCACAGTGTCATCAAAAGTTTGTGTTGTTTCCTGAATGGAGGTCTGAAGTTTCTTCAGTTCAGTTTCTAGTGTCTGCGGGGGAATGGGAAGGAGGAATATTAAAGCTAAAAGAATGTGCATGCTTTTAAGTGTGTGGGTGGCTGGAGAGGTGCACAGACAGTGAGCACTTTGGGTAGGGACCGTCTTTGTGTTCTGTTTGTACAGTGCCATCCTGCTCCTTGACTGATGCTCCTAGGTTCTACCGCAATACAAATAAATAAATAATAATAATATAATATAATTCAGTGATGACATATCTAGAAAACAGACAATAAAAACTGATGATGGCTCATTTATTTACATCATTAGACTATTACCCGTCAGAAGCCATGCATGCCAGCTTCATTATCTTCTGCTCAGGTGGAAATCCCAGGTTTATGAAAAAACAAATTTTAGTCATGTTGGTCTGACAATATAGGGACTGTCTTATGACGTGCTGAGTTCCTTCTCCTCCTGTTGAAGTTAATGGGAGCTGAGAATCATACCCAAACCTAGTCATTTAAATCAAAACTTCAAAGTGTGTGGCTATAGGTTTTTTATTTTATTGTTTAAAAAGAGAAATTACATAAAATAGCTTTGACCATTGACTTGCAATGAAACTGAGGAGCCTAAAAATGGGACTCAGGAGCCTAAATCACGTAGGCACTTGAAAATATTACCCAAAGATTAGTTTTTATTCCAGTTAGCATTACTGAGCTGAGAAAGTAGTTTCAGAATTAGCTAGGTTCTATTTTGAACTATCAAATTCAGCTAAATTCTGGGGAGTCATTACATTATTGATAATATTACAGACAGAAGGAGCCAAGATTTGTTTAAACTAGGCATGATGGGTATTGGAGCGTGCAGCGCTTCATAGGATCAAGCCCTTTATTTCCACCATCACATAAAAGCTGTATTTGAGTAAAAAGTATCAGAGACAATGCTATAAGACAGTAGAAAAAGAAAGGATGTTTCAGCCAAAAGGGCCCAACAAATGACACATTTGGAATGAGGGTGTGGCAAGGCTGACTGTTCTGCTGCCCAAATTTCTCTTTGAAGAATAAAAATTGTGAAATTATGTGCATCTGATATCCATATTCCCTGCAGCTCTGTTAATGGAATGTCAAACATCTTTCTGGAAATAGTTGTACATTTGTGACGGAAAGCAATAAAGCAGTTTAATCAGACTCGGAATGTGCTAGTTATCACAGGTAAACCTCGTGTTTTCTGCTTTAAGTTGGGGCTTCTACAATGCCACAGGTAACTTTGTTAATTTTTAACACTTATTGGCATATTTTATTTTATTAAAATAGATCTGGGTTTTCCCCCTTTAAGAAACCAAGAGGTCATGTCAATAAATCCTGAGAAAAAAGAGAAACTGTGTGTAAGGACGTTGAACAAAATCACTCCTTTTCTCATTTTATTTTACCTTTCTGTATTTTTCCCTTTCTTCATTCAGCTCCTTAACTTTTTTCTCAAATTCTTTGAATACTTTCTTTTCCTCTTCATTCCAAAGGGTATCAGGTTTAGAAACAAAAGGAGGTGGGGGAATCTCCTGAAGATATCAAAACAGCCATGCAATTCATGAGCAACATCAATTCTCCATTAAAGAGCACTGAGAAAAAGAACGTACAGCACCAGCAATAAACCTCTCAACGTTTATTGTGAGCTTCATCTTAGTAGCAGCTGGAAGAACTACACAAGTCTTGCACCCAAAGAATGTATATCTCTGCTTTGGCCCTATTTTATGTTCCTTGACTTCCTGGAGTAACACCAGTGTTGAACCTGCAGCATTTGCATGGGATGGAGCACTAACTACACCTTCTAGCAGCACCAATGGTTATGGTGTGAGTAACATGGCCATTTTTGCTTTCATTCTCTCACAGAAAATCATCAGATACAATAAAATACAAGTGAGATTTTTCGGCAAGCTCAGTACTACTACTATTGCTAAAAGATCAGTTTTTCCATTATAAATCCCTTAATTAACTCCTAAGCCAAGATGAACTTTCATTTCCTGAAAACATATCAGCTTTAGATAGAGTACTTGGGTCTCTTTTACTTTTTCATTCTAGAGCACCATTGTACTTGGACAGCAAATGTTTTCTCCCTCTATTATTGATCGGGCTTCCTTCGCTGTAGAAGGTAGAGCGAAGCAGCCTCTCCTAAGATCCAGGCCAAAACCCGTTTCTGAAATGGCCATGAAAGAAGTAACACCAAGTCAGGTATCTATACTTGCTACTCTACAGCACTAGCAAATCACCTCTGAAGCAAATGAAGCCGAAACACTAAATTCCTATGGCCACTGCTTAATCTGGGTCTCCTAGAATCATCTGATTTGCAAAAAGAAAAGGAGGACTTGTGGCACCTTAGAGACTAACCGATTTATTTGAGCATGAGCTTTCGTGAGCTACAGCTCACTTCATCGGATGCATACCGTGGAAACTGCAGCAGACTTTATATACACACAGAGACCATGAAACAATACCCCCTCCCACCCCACTCTCCTGCTGGTAATAGCTTATCTAAAGTGATCATCAAGTTGGGCCATTTCCAGCACAAATCCAGGTTTTCTCACCCTCCGCCCCCCCCCACACAAACTCACTCTCCTGCTGGTAATAGCCCATCCAAAGTGACCACTCTCTTCACAATGTGTATGATAATCAAGATGGGCCATTTCCTGCACAAATCCAGGTTCTCTCACCCCCTCACCCCCCTCCAGAAACCACACACACAAACTCACTCTCCTGCTGGTAATAGCTTATCCAAAGTGACCACTCTCCCTACAATGTGCATGATAATCAAGGTGGGCCATTTCCAGCAAAAATCCAGGTTTTCTCACCCCCCCCCCCACCCCCATACACACACAAACTCACTCTCCTGCTGGTAATAGCTCATCCAAAGTGACCATTTTCCCTACAATGTGCATGGTAATCAAGGTGGGCCATTTCCAGCACAAATCCAGGTCACTTTGGATGAGCTATTACCAGCAGGAGAGTGAGTTTGTGTGTGTGGTTTTTGGAGGGGGGTGAGGGAGTGAGAGAACCTGGATTTGTGCTGGAAATGGCCCACCTTGATTATCATACACATTGTGAAGAGAGTGGTCATTTTGGATGGGCTATTAGCAGCAGGAGAGTGAGTTTGTGGGGGGAGGGGGGGCGGAGGGTGAGAAAACCTGGATTTGTGCTGGAAATGGCCCAACTTGATGATCGCTTTAGATAAGCTATTACCAGCAGGACAGTGGGGTGGGAGGAGGTATTGTTTCATGGTCTCTGTGTGTATATAATGTCTTCTGCAGTTTCCACGGTATGCATCCGATGAAGTGAGCTGTAGCTCACGAAAGCTCATGCTCAAATAAATTGTTAGTCTCTAAGGTGCCACAAGTCCTCCTTTTCTTTTTGCGAAGACAGACTAACACGGCTGTTACTCTGAAATCTGATTTGAAAGGGAACTATAGTGGATTGATCTTCCCATCCATTCTCCTGTACAGTGGAAGAATTGATTCAGTGTCCCTAAATCATCCCTGTTAGCAAGGTGTAGTCTCACCTGGAATAGCTCCAGTTATAAGAGTTCCACAACCTCTTGGGTTATCTTGTTCCATTGCTTAACTCCTTTAGAAAGATTTGCACTGCTAGTGAAAGTTCGTATTTATATAAAAATATCAAAGGTTTCCTCTTTCAACACAATTCTTATGACAAAACATTTTCTCAAGAGTGGTGCTTAAGGCAAATTTTCACCATTTCTGTCCTTTTGTAATTCTTGGAATTCCAGTTAGAATTCAGAAATGGTGAATTTTATTCAGTTCTAATAACAACTGTTACTTTAATCATATGAGAGAAACAACTCACAATCTTCAAGATGTCTTCCTTTTTGATTTCTAGGACCCCATTCATCATGTCATAAAGGGCACGCTGTCTTGCGCTGTTCTGGAAAAGATAAAAAATGAAAAGAAAATGCTGCAGAACAGGGTACTTGGATGGCTCAGGCCTTTCACCTCTACGGTGCCAATGAGAATCTGTGATATGTCGCCAGTGAATGAAATGCTGTTTGGTGACCTATGGGAAATACACTAGCAATCTCAGTCTGATTTTTGGTGAACAGATGCCCACATATCAAGTAACTATCACTACAATGGGCACCCTAGTTTTTTCAGAAGGGAGGTTCTTCTTAGAGTGCTTGCTCATTTCCATTCCATGTTTGCCGTGCACAGTCGCTGGAGATTTTTTTCCTCAGTGGCATCCACCGGTGGGATCCTGGTGAAGGTGTCCCTCCTGGCGCTTGGCCCACTGGACAATGGCCTATGCAGGTTCAATGGCCTTTTTGGAATCCAAGGCATTTTCCCTCAGCACCGGGCCTGCTTTCCAGATGCTCATACTTGGTGGTGTCAGAGATGGGCTCCTCTGTCACAGTGACCACGACCCGACCCAGACTTCGGTACCGAGCCCAGTACCAATATTCAGGACTTGGGACTACATGATGTGGTCAGTGCAGAAAAAGAGGGGGAAGGCTCCCGCCAGTGCAGGCCTCTTCCTCCCCAAATGAAGCAGTCGGGGTTGAGTGGCTCAACGCCTCAAAGTGACTTCAGAGCTCACCAAGAGCTACTGTAAAGGGTGGCTCTGAACCTAGGGCTGGAAGTGGAGGTGCTTAAAGAATCCTCCCACAGCCTGATCAACATCTTGGCTGCAGTGGTCCTACCCCTCAATGAGACTGTTCTGGGTCCAGTCAGAAACCAATGTCAGATCCCATCCTCTCTGCCCCCTACTTCAAAAAGGGCAGAGAAAAAGTACTTTGTTGCTGTCAAAGGGTAGGAGTACCTATATTCCCATCCCCCTCCCGGACCCCTTGTGGTTGTAGCAGCCAGTGAAAGAGACAGGTAACGGCTGTAGGGTGCAGCCCCCAAGGTGAAGGATTCAAAGAAGCTGGACCTGTTTGGTAGAAAGATTTTTCCTACTGGGGGGGTTACAGCTCCGCATTTCCAACCAGCGGACCTTGCTAGAAGGTATAACTATAACGTCTGGGACTCCCTGTCAAAATTCAAGGACTCGCTGCCCCAGGAGTCCAGACAGGACTTCTGCAGTCTTGTGGAGGAAGGGCGGGCTATAGCCAGGGCCCCCCTCCAGATGGCCCTAAACACAGCTGACATGGCTATGGCATCGGCGGTAGTCATGCAAAAGAGCTCTTTGCTCTAAGCCTTGGATCTACCACCAGACATTCAGCTGTCCATTCAGGACCTCCTGTTTGAGGAAACTTCCCTCTTCTCTGAGCAGACAGACGCAAAGCTCCATGGCCTGAAGGATTCTAGCCTTTGTGTTCCAACACCTTTGAGGAAGCACTTCCGACCTCAGCAACCGGTCAGCTTCTCATCTCTGCCACCACGTCTGGACCTGTTTAAGAAATGAAGCAGGGATTATAAGCATAGGCAACTGCCCCCATCCGCTTCAGCCTTTCTACTGGGCCCTCACAGATATCCAGGAGGCTCCAAGCACAACTTCTGAAGGGGTGCCCGAGGGTGTTATGTCAGTTCACATACCAGATCCTGCTTCCCCTTTGTTTTCACACTGACTCTTCTACTTCAGTCCAGCGTGGTCCCTCATCACCTTGGACCATGGGTGCTGAGTATGGTGAAGGAAGGTTACACCCTTCAGTTTTCTTCCACCATCTTTGTCCCTCTTAAGGGACCCTCCTCACGAGCAACTTCTAGTCCAGAAGGTGCAAGCCCTCCCAGGGGACATGGAGGAGATGCCTCAGAACTTGAGAGGGAAAGGGTTTTCTCCCATTATTTTCTAATCCTGAAGGCCAAAGGGGGTCTCTGACCCATCCTAGGCCGGCACTGCTTCCACAGTTATCTCAAGAAACTGAAGTTCTGCATGGTCTTCCTGGTGTCCATTGTTCCCTCCCTGAATCCAGGGGACTGGTATTCTGCCCTCGACTTGAAAGATGCCTATTTCCACGTCTTCACTTTTTGGGGCCATAGACGGTTCCTCAGGTTCATTGTGAACCTGACCCACTACTAATTCACCATCCTCTGCTTTGGCCTGTCATCAGGCCCTCAGGTTTTCACAAAATGCATGGCAGTGGTGGTGGCTTCCTCAGAGGTAAGGGGTATGAATCTGCCCTTACTTCGATGACTGGCTGATCAAGTGCTGGTCCAAGGCCTACGTGAGAGCTACCTTCCGAGCCCTGGGGCTATTGATAAGTGAGCAGAAGTCACCTCTCATTCCCGGCCAGAGGATAGAATTTATTGGTGCAGTGCTTGATTCCACCTGGGCCAGAGCCTTCCTCCCAGAGGCTCGCTTCCAGATAATGTCATCTCTGATATAGCAGGTCAAGGCCCACCCCGTCACGACAGCTCATTTCTGCCTCAAGCTTTTAGGTCACATGGCCACATGCATATAGATTCATAGATATTAAGGTCAGAAGGGACCATTATGATCAGTACGTGGTGCAGCACGCGAGACTGCAACTCAGACCCCTTCAAGCTTGGCAGTCCTCGGTATACTCACTGAGCCATCACCATTTGGACTTGGTGTTTACAGTTCCCACACAGGTCCTCATGTCCCTCGACTGGTGAGGGGATCCCTGGTTGGTAGGCTTGGGCATTCCCTTCATCAGTCTCCAAACCTCAGTATCCCTAATCTTGGATGCATTCGAGCTAGGTTGGGGGGCTTACCTTGAGCACCTCAGGACTCAAGGTCTGTGGTCCCTGGAGGAGCTCTCCTTGCACATAAATGTCAGAGAGCTCAGAGTGGTCCACCTAGTGTGCCAGGTCTTTTTACCCCAGATTGCCAGCAAGGTTGTGCAAGTTCTTATGGACAACATGGCAGCCATGTTTTACATCACCAGGCAGGGAGGTGCACATTCTTCCCCACTCTGGTAAGAGGTTATTCGCTTCTGGGAATATGTGTGATGCACTCGATCCATCTCGAAGCTTCTCACCTTCTGGGAGCCCAGAACAATCTGGCAAATCACCTCAGCAGATTTTTCTCCTCTCACTATGAGTGGTTCCTTTGCCCTGATATAGCCAGGATCATCTTCCAGCGGTGAGGGACTCCCCTCATAGACATGTTCACAATCAAGCAAAACAGGAAGAGACAGCAATTTTGCTCTCTGTGTAGGTGCAGCCCAGGCTTGCTCACAAATGCCTTCCCTGCTCCCCTGGACAAAGCATCTGTTCTGTGCATTTCCTCCCATTCCTCTCGTGCATAAAGTCTTACTCAAAGTCAAGTGGGACAAAGCAAAGGTTATTCTCATAGCCTTAGCGTGGCCACACCAGCCCTGGTTCAGCACGTTATTGGACCTGTCAGTAGTGACCCCATTGCCACGCCCTCCCCTTCCAGACCTGATCTCGCAAGATCACGGCTGATTGCTCCACCCAAACCTCAAGGCCCTCCACCTGACCACATGGAAGTTCCATGGTTGAGCTGGCTGTTCGGAGCAAGTCCACCAGGTATTGCTAGGTAGTAGGAAACCATCTACTAGAGTGACTTACCTTGCCAGGTGGAAGTGTTTTTCCGTGTGGTCGTCCCAACGAGGCCTCTCACCCGCTAGGTCTGTGCTGGAGTATCTGCTTCATCTGAAACAACAGGGCCTAGCCACTTCGTCGATTAAGGTACACCTAGCAGCCTTTTCCACCTTCCACCCTCCGGTGGATGGTAGGTCTGTCTTTTTGCATGAAATGTCGATTCGCTTCCTCAAGGGTTAGAGAGACTTTACTCTCAAATTTGTGAACTCATTCCCCCGTGGGACCTAAACCTGGTCCTATCAAGGCTCACGGGTCCTCCCTTTGAGCTGCTGCTATTGTGCCCTTTGTCGTATCAATCATGAAAGGCCGGCTTCCTGGTATCGATTACCTCGGCCAGGAGGCTCTCAGAGATCAGGGCCCTTACATCACAACCCCTGTATATGGTGTTCTTTAAGGACAAGGTACAACTTTGCCCCCACTCCGCATTCCTCCCGAAGGTAGTTTTGCAGTTTCATCGTAATTAGGCTATTTTTCTGCCAGTTTTCTTCCCAAAACTGCATAAGAATGTGGAGGAGCAGCATCTTCACATCTGGCCTTCTACATAGAAAGGACCATGCCATTCCGTAAATCCACACAGCTCTTTGTGGCAGTAGCAGACAGGATGAGAGGCCTACTAGTTTCAGCCCAGAGAATTTAATCCTGGATCACTTCCTGCATTTGCACGTGCTATTAGGTGGGTTTCATCACCTGCCATCTTGACTGCTCATTTGACGAGAGCTCAGGCTTCATCAGCAGGGTTTCTGGCCCAGGTCCTGATCCAGGACATTTGCAGGGCAGCGACGTGGTCATCGGTACATACTTTCTCCTCCCACTATGCCATCACCCAGCAGGCTAGAGATGATGCCAGATTTGGCAGAGCAGTGTTGCAAACCACATGTCCATGAACTCTGAACCCACCTCCTTGGGTACCACTTGGGAGTCACCTAACGTGGAAAGGACATGAGCAAGCGCTCGAAGAAGAAAAAACAACTACTGACCTTTCCATAATTTGTTCTTCGAGATGTGTTGTTCATGACCCACCCTCCTTCCCCTCCGTCGGAGTTAGCTGGCAAGAAGGAACTGAGAAGTTGCAGACTGGCTGGGCCCCTTATACCGGCACATGAGTGCACACCACTAGAGGGCACTAGAGCCAGCCCGACAGATACCACTCTGGCAACTATGCATGCAGTGTGCACACACCAAAGGTGGAATGGACATGAGCAATACATCTCGAAGAACAACAGTTACGGAAAGGTTAGTAACTGTTATGTCAATGGATGCACAGACATGACCTACTTACTTACTCTGATTAAGGTATTGGCAGGTTAGCGTGGGGGAAGGTTCCATTATCACTGCCTATGGTGTACCTATTCTGTGGCCAGATCTTTCTTCCAGGCTGTTGCAGATACATACTTTTTAAAGCCAGAAGGGACTATTGTGATTATCTAGTCTGACTCCTGCAAAACTCAGGCCAAAAAGCCTCACCGCCAAATTTCTGCATCAAGTCCATAACTTTTGATTGAGCTAGAGCATATCTTTTAGAAAACTATCCAGTCTTAAAATCTGTCAAGCTGAGACCTTTCACCAACACTAAATATTTTTTAAAATAGCACCCCTAACTTAAACCCTTCCTTCCTCCATAAGATCGCTATTTAGTTCGAATTGTAAAGGATGGTGAGGGAAATGGACTGTAATATATTTAATTATAATTGCAATAAGTCCCCAATGCTAAGTGAGTTAGCAAGGAAAATACTGCTTCAACAAAAGTACCAGAGCAGCAAGACGTCTTTCCATTTCAATCTTAGCCATCATCTCCGCTTTCGCTCTCTGCTCTGGGGTAAGGTATTTTTCAACTTTAATCTGTGAAGACAAAGAGACTCAGCTCAGGTTTTCCTCTGGGTAGGTTCTTTCACAGAATTTTTAGAAAAACATCATAATATGGGCTAGCATGCTTATTTCTTTGTATCGCTGCTCTCTGTATCTAAGTAATACTCCTCAAAATGTTCACTCTCTTGTGAATATTCAGTACAGATTTCTCTGCACATAGCCATTCTCTAAACTAATAAAACATAAGCTCTTCCCATTTTTTCTCCTGTAGATTATGTTTTGTGTGTTATGCATCTGGGTTTTGTGGTACTGGAATGGAGGGGATTGGAACATCTCCCTCAACTAATCAATCTATCTAAAACCACACTACTAACATTACTCCCTTCCTTGTATCCCTTCACTGACTCCTTTATCTCCTGTAGATTCAAGCTCCCTGTCTCCTCACCTTCAAGGTTTTGTATTACTCTGCCTCCAGTTATAGAGCAACGCTTAAGTTAAACATTAAAAGGCTCAAGTTCTGTTCTAGATCTAGAACCCACGGACTCCTAGTACATTCTACATTTGGCAAAAATACCACCACTAGTGTGTACGTCACACAAAACAAGGTGATGGCATGTGTGTTTCCAGGACTGACATGATGTAGAGGAATGCATGAATCTGAAATGAAAGAGGGTCCTGCAACCAAATCTCATTTTGGGAGAGAAGACAGAGAGAAAAAGTATAGATCAGATGAATAGCGTAGCGTGTGCCAAGAATTCTGTGATGATTCATAACTTGCTAATTAAATTTAGAGATACTATGCTATCTATGCTTTGACACCAAAATGATAGACACTAACACCTGCAAAAACTGCCTATTTGGGATAAATTCAGACACCGTACAGAAGGCAGATGATTGCCTATGAAGAGATCACATTGAAAAAACAAATGTGTGAAACAACATAAGAGACGCTCACTCTAAATCCCATCACAGTCCATCCATAGTTACCATCTGATGGCTGTTCAATGATGTATATGAAACAAAGTTGTGATCTCAGTCCAGTTTCTAGTGGCTAGGTATCCACTTCAAAATTAACACCCTTACTGATCACTACTGCATGGGGGGCGGGGGGAACGACTCAGAGATGAACAGAGAAACTAAACCATGCTCTGACTGCCACAGAAGTGTTCCCTCCAGGTCATGGTTGAGGCACAATGTCTGGGCAGGGTAACTGTATGAGTCTACTGTCCATGCCATGCTGGACATGGTCTATGGATAAACAGAAGGCTTTGTTTTCCAGAGATGTTAGTCAAGCATCTTTACAAGCACCAAATTTAACTTCAAAGATTTTTGCAAATTTCTTTCCCCTCTACAGACAGAATTATTCAGAATCTTCCCCCAAAACCTGGAAAATCCAAGGTAATGCAGAGTACAAAAAAGGGTGAATGTGTACATGGACACATCAATTTTATGGCTACTTTCTGTATACTGACATAATGGCTTGAAATGATGGAGAACCAGAGAACTAAGTCTGCACAAGCGTATAAAAGGGAATGATTTATTTTTCAAATACCTCTGAATCCTGGACAGTGAGAGCTCGCTCTGGTATCTCATCATCTGTCAGAGCTGGCTCCCAGACCTCCTCCTGGAGTTCGAGCTGTTCCACGATTTCTTGGATCCTCAGGTTCCTTTCCTTTACACGGGCAATCTCCTGCTCCTTCTGTCGAGCGACGGTGTCAAACTCCTTATTAAAGGCAGTTTTCACTTTGTAAATGATGTCCTGAAATACCACACAAGGAAATGGAAACACTGCAAGGGTCACATCCGTCTTGACTGGACACCACTCACCAACAAGTCAGAAGACAGAAAACCAAGTGTGTCTGTGTGTGCCTGTGTGTGTAAACTACCACACCTCCTTCATAATAACCCTAAATGCAAAATTCTAGTTGTATTAAGCATGCAAATGCTAACTGAGATGGGGAAAATGGCAGGCAGAGCTAAAACTTATTTCTTCTGATTTCTTTGAACTAATCCATGCCTTTTCTGATCCTCAATACCATCTGGCAAAGCTGCTGTTGTAAATAACACACTGTCAAAAACAGATTAAGAAAATTAGGCAAACATTGGTTTCTAACCTGTGATGAGAGACTATTATAAGACATACACACAAAGCAGCAGAGTTTAGGATGTGTGGGTAATCTTAATTTTATTTCCTGCTTTTGAGTGCTGTAGTCTGCAAACTTAAAATTGCTTCTGAATGGAACAGCATTATATACAGGAGCTCCTCATTTAAAGTCGTCCCGGTTAACGTTGTTTCGTTGTTACGTTGCTGATCAATTAGGGAACATGCTCATTTAAAGTTGTGCAGTGCTCCCTTCTAAAGTCCTTTAGCAGCCACCTGCTTTGTCCACTGCTTGCCGGAAGAGCAGCCCGTTGCAGCTAGCTGGTGCGTGGTTGGAACCAGGGTGGGCCGGCAGCCCCACTATCAGCTCCCCGCTCCCCTAAATTCCTTGTGCAGCAGCTGCTCAGCAGGCAATCAGTTGCTAGCTGTTCAGCTATCCCTCCCCCCACTGCCATGTGCTGCTCCTGCCCTCTGCCTTGGAGCTGCTCCCCAAGACTCCTGCTTGCTGTGGGGGGGGGGGGTAAGGGGAAGAAGAAGGGGGCTAATGGCAGAGTATCCCCCTCCCCCCTGCTCCTGCACCCCACTTACCCCATCTTCCATAGAGCATGGGGGACACATGGACAGAGATCTAATTAACAAGGCAGTGTACTTCTGACCCCACGCTTCATACTTAAAGGGAAAATGCACATTTCTATTTCTCAAACACACACAGGGTGGGTGTCTCTGTCTGCCCTCCCTCCTTTCCTTCTGCCTTGTAGAATGTGAGTGTTAAAATTTCCCTGGAACCTAACCCCCTCATTTACATTAAGTCTTATGGAGGAATTGGATTCGCTTAACATCGTTTCGCTTAAAGTCGCGTTTTTCAGGAACAGAACTACAACATTAAGTGAGGAGTTTCTGTAGAACATATTTATGCACATAAAGTACCAATGAAATTAGGAAGTGTTTCAAGTGTATGAAACAAAGCAGAGGCCAAATAATGATTTTTAAAAGCCTGTATTCTAAGTGGAACTGGATTATTAAGAAGAAAAATATGCATCTTTCCTATTATGCCTATTATACTAGAATGAAACAATCAGTGGTTGAATTAGGCTATTCAAAATGCATGTTTCAAGATACCTAGCCACATACAATTTGTGTGTAACGATAAATATTTTTGTTCATGATCGTCTAACCATTTCTGGTATAATCAGTAATAAACCTGTGTGGCAGATAAGATACAATTTAACAGAAAGAGAAGGTTACTCACCCTGTGCAGTAACTGAGGTTCTTTGGGATGGATGTCTCTGTGGGTGCTCCACTTCAGGGGTTGGTGCGTCCCTATGCCTTTGATCGGAGAATTTCAGCAGCAGTGTCTGTCCGGGTCACACATGCGTTGTCCCCATCTCACAGCGCTGTCAGCACCTATCTAGCATGTGCTAACCAACCACCCTCAGTTCCTTTTCTTCTGTAGAGTCTGGAAATTGAACTCCAACATAGAGGGGAGGAGGGGAGGTAGTGGAGCACTCACATGGACATAGACATCCATCTTGAAGAACTTCAGTTACTGAGCAAGGTGAGTAACATTCTCTTCTTCTTTGAGGCATATCCCTGTGGGTGCTCCACTTCAAGTGACTATCGAGCAGTACCCCACATTGGATGGAAGGGGCTTCAGAGTTGCCTGTATACGTGATGATAACACTGCAAGACCTAGGAATGCATCCGATCTTGAGCGCTGGTCGATTACAAAACACTGTGCCAACTAATGGCACTAATTTGTTTATTCTGGCACCATATGTGGAATATCTTCCATTTGTGAAGGTAAGTATTGCATGTGGTTGTCCTTCTACTGTTTAGTAATATGTCTTTAACTTGTTCCGAACATGCCAGTTCATCATGATGGAACCATATAGGAGCCATACTCTGAGATGAAGTCTCTCCAGGTATGGGTGGTGAACTCGTCCAGCATCCTGTGATAGAAGGTTTGGCAGAGGTGGAAGGGTGTGTGATGCGTATACCATCATCTGCAATAGGTACGAGTACCAAGTCTGTCTGGGCCACATTGGGGTTATCAATATGTTTTTGGCCTCATTGGTACATATTTTGTGTATCACCCTTGATAACAGAGAGATCGGGGGAATGCGTATCACAAGGGTGCTGAGGAGGAAGGCATCCCTCAAGGATTGGGCCCCAAACCTGCTCTTGAGCAGAATTGTGGGCATTTGTAGTTCTGGGATGTTGTGAAGAGGTCGATGGATGGGTGACCCCAGTGTTTGAAGAATATGTTTCTTCAACCACATTGTTTAGTTCCCATTCATGATCCTGGGAAAATTCTCTGCTCAGTGTATCTGCTGTAGTATTTTGACGACCTGGAAAGTATGAGGCTGAGATTCTGGCATTGTGCCGGATACACAATAGTTTCATACCTTCGGTGCATAGGGAGTGCGAATGCGCCTCTCCCTGTCGGTTTATATAAAACATGCAGGCAACGTTGTCTGTCAATATCTGTATTATGACAAAGTCAAGCTGGACAGCTGCAAAAGGGTCCTGGAAGGCTGATATGTTAGCCCTAGAATGTTAAAGGCCCTTTTTCCTACAAGCTGAGAAGGGGTTACCTCAGATCAATTAGGGACACCTGAATCCAATTAAGGGCTGCCTGAGGCCTTTAAAAACCCCTCCTCTGGGCAGAAAAAAGTGGGAAGAGAGAGAGAGACAAGCTATTGCCAGGCTAGTGTCAGCAGGGAAATAAGCTTCTCCAAGGTGACAGTTTGTGCTCCTTCCCATAGGGGAACAGCCAAACCTGAGTGCCTGCTATGGGAAGGACTGACAGCCCAGGGCAAGCAGCAGAACAACACCCTGCCCCAGCAAGGGGTCAGAGAAAGGTATCCCCCTTTGTTTTTGTGTTTATAGGACTGTTTCCTTTTTGTTTCGTGAAGGATCGCCCCGTAGGCCAACCCTGGGACCTACCTTGAAAACACAGCCAAAGGAGCACAGAAGAGGGAAGGCAAACACTGCCCAGAGTGGGACTGATTTACCCCAGACCCATCATCGCCAGAGGGGGAAGTGCCTTGGAGGTGCCTTGCCACAGTATATTCTCGTTCCTGATCAATGGCAAGAAATGCAAGCCTGCGTTGCGAACTGCATGCAATTCTAAGAGGTTTATGTGTTACAGAGTCTCAGAGGAAGACCACCTGCCCTGAATTGTGTGGTGTTGTAGATGGGCTCCCCAGCCTATCAAGGAGGCATTGGTTGTGATTATTATTGAAGGAGGAGTCTGGATAAAAGGGACTCCTGCGCACAAGTTGGTTTGCGTCCAGCCGTGTAGAGTTTGATTTTAATCGGCATTGCCAGGCGTCTGTTTAGGCTGTGTTTATGTGGTACATAGATAGTTCTTTGCCAGCCCTGAAGACAGCGCATGTGAAGATGCACATGTTGTACCACGAATGTGGTTGCCACCATATGTCCTCATAGTTGGAGGCAGGTTCGGGCCAATATGTATGGACACTTCAGTGACGAAGAAATGAGGTTGGTTGGAGTGATGAACCTGTTCGTTGGTAATAATGCTCTGGCTTCCAGAGAGTCTACCTGGGCTTCAATGAAGTCTAACATCTGTATGGGGTTTAGAGTTGATTTTTGTATGCTTATCTGTAAACCCAGTCTCAGGAAGAGGTTGAGTGTCCTGTGAGTAATGTTAAGGGCGTCCAAGTGGGAGCTTTTAATAGATAATAGTCCAGATGGGAGAGTATTGTTACCTCTTGTTTGCGGAGATGTGCCACCGCGAGAATTTTGAAGAACACTCGCAGTGCTGTCAAGAGACTAGGCCCTGGTCTACACTACGAGTTTAGGTCGAATTTAGCAGCATTAGGTCGATTTAACCCTCCACCCGTCCACACGACCAAGCCTGTTTTGTCGACTTAAAGGGCTCTTAAAATTGATTTCTGTACTCCTCCCCGGTGGGGGGAGTAGCTCTAAAATCAACCTCGCGGGTTCGAATTTGGGGTTGTGTGGACACAATTCAACGGTGTTGGCCTCCGTGAGCTATCCCAGAGTGCTCCATTGTGACCACTCTGGAGAGCACTCTCAACTCAGATACACTGGCCAGATAGACAGGAAAAGCCCCGGGAACTTTTGAATTTTATTTCCTGTTTGGCCAGTGTGGCAAGCTGATCAGCAAAGGTGACCGTGCAGAGCTCATCAGCACAGCTGACCATGGAGTCCCTGAATCACAAAAGAGCTCCTGCATGGACTGAACAGGAGGTACTGGATCTGATTGCTGTATGGGGAGAAGAATCTGTGCAGGCAGAACTCCATTCCAAAAGATGAAATGCCAATATATTTGCCAAAATCTCCAAGGGCATGATGGACAGAGGCTACAACAGGGACACACAGCAGTGCTGCGTGAAAGTTAAGGAGCTGAGGCAAGCCTACCAAAAAACAGAGGATGCAAACGGTCGCTCTGGATCAGAGCCCCATACATGCCGCTTCTATGATGAGCTCCATGCAATTCTAGGGGGAGCCCCTACCACTTCCCCACCACTGTCTGTGGACACCTGCAAGGGGGGAATCTCATGCAACAGGGATGAGGATTTTGTAGATGATGAGAAGGAGGAGGTTGAGGATAGCACACACCAGGCAAGCAGAGAATCCCTTCTTCCTGGCAGCCAGGAACTGTTCATCAC